CTTTATTCTGATTCTTTATAAATCAGCCATACCTCACATCTAGCAAAAGCTACCCAAGGTCATAATTATTCCATTCCAATATTTGGTAATTTGCCTTTAGTAATTTTACAATATATTTCAAGGTGACAAAGCAAATCAGGGTGCATAAAAATGGATTAATTTATGAATGATTAATTTTCAATTACGTTATTCTAGCCCTTATATGTACATACACCCATTTGGAAACATAACAGTTTTATTAACTTGAAATTATATTTCCTATAAGGCATGTAAATGAAAATTGTCAACAATTTTGATAACCATTTTTCTCCACAGCTGTGACATAAACAATTACCTCAATCCAGAGAAGCATGAATGCATAGTTTTAATGTGTGTAATTTTTATAATCACTACTCTTGCACAGGTGTTTCCTTATGTCACATTCCAAGCTTTGGCCTTTATTTTTAACTTTTATGCTCTTGACTTATCCACATTTTACTGTATCTTTATTTACCAGTACAGGTTTTGGTGCCATTTGCTGAATCATGCTGATTTAGTCTGAATCTAAAGGTAGCCATGTCTTAGTCATAAGACCCTATATATACTCGTGGTATTAAAGCTATGACAACAATCTCAATCAGCCTAAGAACTAAAACCAACTCCCATGACTGAAATACTGGAAAGCAGAATTCCTCATTCCATTGGAGCAGGAGCTGATTTCTCTTGAAATTTCTTTTCAGATTCAGAGACTAACTGCAGCATATATAAAGAGTTTTAGGTCTTGTAATTCAGCTATGGTAGCTATATCAGATGTAAGAGTTCAGAGTAAAGGAATCTGTGCAAATAACAGGTGAAATTCTGGCCCAAACTCCGAAAAGCAGTGCAAACTTTCCACTTTAAGCCACAATTTCAGAATTTCAGTCTCCCACAGCAAATTGAACTCTTCTAGGATTATTATTAATTATTAAATGCATGCATCTCTTTACCCATGCATATCTAAAAACACACAAGAGAAAAATATGTGTGTGGGGGGGGGGGTTGGTGTTTTGTTTTATTTGTTTAATCTGTCTGTTACTACGTGCATGTGAACATAGATGATGAAACTTTGCTCTGGATAATGGTAGATGTGGATGAATTTTTATTGATTGATTCTATGCAGGACCACAAATCTCAACTTCTTTCTCTTATGCCTTTGTTTATACACAAAAATAAGCAAACAGTATGGCATCTTCTTCCACTATCCAATGCAATCATAGCAAACTAAAGCCCTGCATCTGAGCCGTGCCCTCCATGTGGTAGTTCCTTCAATAGGGGCACAGTTTTGTGCATCCAAACAAAAGGGCAACACTGAGAAGGGAGCAGTGCCTGAGCTGGTCCAGGCACTAAGGGCAGACCCTGCTACCCTGTGACATGGCAGAGCCTACGGGTTTCATAGGCCTTCCTGCCTTTCAATCTTCCTGCCAGTGGCTTCTGGGATCCCTTTCAAGAAGCAGGATGTGCTGCGGTGTTTCAGAGCCTACAAAATATGGTCAGTTGGAAGCTGATGTTCAGTGTCTGCAGTTACTAAGAATATTCAGTGCATCCTGAATGCACTATTCAGTTCAGGTGCAATAATTAACTTCTGCAATTCAGTATTGCCATCCCTCCATGATGACAGATAAACAAGGCAGACCTCCCCCAAATAATGAATGTTTAGTTTTCATAGGTCTTTTTTATATTTATTTATAAAATTAATTTTCTCTATAATTTAGGGATTTTTTTGATTCTTGTATGGTGCCTTAGGTCCATGTTCTTAAGATTTTCTCCACATTCAAAAAACCCTAGAAATTAAAAGAAAAATGTTGAGAATCTGTTACAATTAATGACCCTAGAAAATTAATTTTAAAGGAAAATACAAAATCCTAATTCAGGAGAAGCATGACAGTTGATAGACTTGAAAAAAATTTTGTATGTGAAGAAAATATATTTGATATATGAATGTATATGGTATTATATGCTGATCATAAACATTCAGGCCTCTAGTTACATGTGGTAAGCACCAAATACAGTACTAATTTCCCATTTTTAATTCAACACTTTCTGCAGTCAAAAAGAACAAGATTAATACTCATGATTAATATTCTGAATTGTCAAATCTATTGAAAGAAGAATATTAATATATTTAACAGCTCAACTTCAGGAACAGTCAGGGGATAAAAAGCTGCCCAAAAAGTACTGTTAAATAAATCACAATTGCATATGTAAATAGGCTGATTACATTTGGCTGCGTAACTGAATAACAAATTGTACAGAAAATGGCTTTTTAAGCTTGCAACTACAAGTCTGCCCTCAGGCTGACCCAAGAGTCCTTTCATTTCAGCTCAAAGCCATTACTTTGCTGTTAAGTGCCATCCACTACAAAACTAAAATCATGTGCAATTACAATTACACGCTCATTTAGATGTGCAATTGGTCATTTTTACACATGCAATATTGATACTGTCTTTCATAAATGTTTTCTGCTTTCCTGAACCATATCTACTACAGGGAGTGTGACTCTGTGGCTGCTACCTACAGCCTTTAGGAGCACAATCAGTATATTAAAAAGAAATAATCTTTGATTAGTTCACCAAATAGAAAAAGGCAATTGCTTTGGGGTGAGTTTTTCCTATGTATATGGATTTTGTTCACACACCTATTAAATCTTTATATTTTACTATATACAGTAAATCTCTGTGGCTAGAGCTGTTATTGGCCCTTCAAATTAATTACTGTATATAACAAGCATTTGAGAGAACACTAGATTATCTTCATGTAATATAAGAACACAGACAATACCAAATGAAGTGGAAATTTCCAGTAGTGTAATTACCAGCACCAAGCAAACTGGGATACAATTGATAAAAAATAAAGTTTTTTCTACTTTATGTTTTCATTTCCCACAATCAGAAGCACGATTCTCTCTAGGCACAGGCAAAGTTGCTTAAGACAGCAGGTTGCTGGGATCTGTGAAGTGGCTGCAGTCCAGCACTCCCTCTTCCTCTGCCAGACGCTGGAAAGCCTCACTGCTGCTGCTGATATTGCCAGCTCATGGGCGGCAGCGTGTGAGGTGATAACTATTCCTGCTGGGACAGTCAGTGCCTCAAAAAATAGCCATTACCTGCCCTAATATTCCCATCTTCCCAGCAGGCCCAGGAGCAACAAGCTTTCCAAGTAAATGGCACACACCATTTTTTTCCTCTTGCCCTATTTCTGCTCCTGCCCCTTCTCTTCTCCCTACAGATTAAAAGCAGCAGCCCAGTTTACAGCTCCTATGAAAAAGACAAGTGAGGATTTTTACTGTTTAGTTCATCCTTCACATATTTAAATCTGCAAAAATACTGGAAGAATATGTAATTCTACATCTCTGTGATACCATTTCAATATGTCAAGAAGGGTTGTGTTGATCTGGTGTAAATCTGGTTTGCAGCACCTGACATGCTTCTTTGAAAAAGCACAACAGCCCCATGAAAAAACATACCTTTATCTTAGCTGCCCCACTGACTTTCCCATCAGTAACAGTTCTGGAGTAGCAGCCAACATTAATATTTATGTGCACTTACATATTAATAATTGATAATCAGTTCTGATTTATCTAAAACATGAATAGGGGAGAAACTGTTTTACATGACAACCTTGTGAGAATAGATGGTGGGTTAGAAGAAACAGGATATGTCTGGGTATAAACTAACTCACTTGGGAGAAATTACTTTAAAGAGGACCTTAAAAGGCAGCAAGTGGGTTAGTGAGCATGCAGATGTGCTGCATCAGTGTCTGCAAAAAGAATGTGATAGTGCACCATGCGTGAACAGTTGAGGAAACCAACTGGAAGATGATGTTAGGAGAGAAGACCATAGGAGTGTGACATCTGTATATGACAGCTGCTATTTCAGGGACAGTTTCAACTCTGTGTACCTAAGTTAATAAAATTCAGAGACTGCAGCAAAGAACCAATATGCTTGATGAAATAAAACAGTCTTTATAAACTAGCCAGGACTGTAAATCCTGATGTTGAATATTAATAATTAAGTACTTGCTATTTATATAGTTAGGTACTTGATGTTACCTACCTATTTTGAACCTCTGGACTCTGTAGTAGGTGAAATGAAACACATATTAAAAAAAATAACAAAAAAGTTAAGGACTAATGTTGTGCAGTTAAGTGACTACAGAATCCAGCAAGCTAACACCAGGAAATTTTAGTCTGCTCCTTTGGGAGCCAGCAGAGTGTTTCCGTTGTTAACTCTTGATTACATATTGTGAGACAAAATAGAGTTGAATTTCCAAAGCACGAGGGATGCCATCACCTCTGCTGCTGAGAAGTCAGAGGCCGTTCTGTGGTCCCTCCTGCCCATGGTCGGTGCCAGGGCGTAGGATGGCGAGGGCAGTTTTCTGACTCACTGACAGCTTTCCAAGGCCTACGGATTTCCCTTTTCTTTCTGGACGAGGTTAGCTGTGGAGGCCTCACAGCTGTGCTTCAAAAGTCGCTTATTTTCTCCCGTTTTCTGACGGAACGTGACTCCCTTCGCGGGACACAGGAGGACACTACTCACTACCAGTCCCTCTCAGACCTGACCCCAGCGGGAGCTGGGTCGCAGCACCTCATCTCTCTTTCCCTGCTCCTCGGCAGGGCCTCGCAGGGCACCGTCCGGGTCTGCAGCGCGTCCCAGACTGCCGAGGGGCGGCGGGAGCGCCGGAGAGTCCCGCAGAGCCCCGCAGAGCTCCGGCCGTGCCCGCCCGGCCGAGCCCGGCCCAGCCCGCGGTGCGACGTTCAACGGCGCCGCCCGGCACGCGGCCGAGCCCCGCCCCGCCCCGCCCCGCCCCGGCCGCCGTGAGGAGGCTCCGCCACAGCGGCACCGACCGCCAGCGGCGCCGCCGAGCCCACCGGCCGTGGGGGAGGGCGCTGCCGACGGTCGAGGTGGGCTGGGGACTCCCCGGCCCAGAGGAGGGGGCGAGGAGGTTTTGTGTCCTGGGGGCTGTGGGGCTCCGGCTGCGGTGCCGCTTTGGGCGAGTGGGGCACGGTCAGTTTCTGGGGATTTTTCACCAAAATTGCGTCAGTTCTCTTTCAAGCATTCAGGAAAGAGTCTTCCAAAGAACACTTGAGGTGGGCCCTCGTAATGTGCGGGCTGCTGTCAATGTCCAACTTGTTAAGATACTACAGAGACCCGGGTCCCACACAAGTGCTGCTTGGGCCTGTTCGCTGGTGCCAGAGGGATTCCCCTCCCTGGGCAAGTCTCCCATGGTAATAACTCCCGAGAAGCAGTGTGGTCTTTGTAAGGGGCAACTCTTGGGACTGCAGCAGTCTCTCGTGGAGGCAGTTTATTTCCCAATTATTTAAACTATTCTTTCTCCACTTTTCGTGATACTAGTCAGAACACTCCATGAATTCAGGAGGCTGGGCTAGATAACTTGTTGAGATCTTTTCTAGCCTTTTCTGGCAGGAGTCGGGCGAGAGGGGCAAAATGTATTGTTTTGCTGTCACCACACAGCTTTTTTTATTGTCAGAATGCTAAAAAAACACAGGTGCTGCATTCTAGAAGCTAACCAGCCTCTTAAACAGTTTTTCCCATTTTTAAAAAGCATGCATATCATTTGCAATTAGGGTATAAAGGAAAACTTCCCCCCCCCCCTTTTTTTTTTGTTTTTTGACTCTTCCAATGCAAATATATTATTATGGCCTTGCTCTACGCAGAAATTTTGTTATAAATATGGTTTAAAGAAGCATTCCTAATCTGGGTAAAAAGAAATACAGCATCCGTATCAGTAGTCTTGGTTAACTCAGCTGAAGGAATTTTCACTGCTTTTGACTACAGCTTTCAAGTCTTCCTTTTTTAAGATGAGCAGGTAGGAAAAGCAGGGAATCAAACCAGAATTTTTTCACTAGCTGTAGTTAAGTTGTTCTAATTCAGACAGTAGCCATTTAACAGTTGGTTTCTAGACCTGAGTGGATTCAAACTTCATGTGTTGGGAAATTGTTACTTGACTATATTAGAAGTTCAGTGTTCAAAAAGTTATAGTGTAGTAAATTCTCAGGCGATTTTTGTTTTTCTTTCTATAATGCAAAGACCAGTTAAAGTGGGTTGTGATACTGGACATATTTCAAAAAGCCTGACTAGTCTTTTCCTGTTCCCTGCTGAAAATGGATAATGTAATTGTAACTCTTGCAGTCATGATCGTTTCTTTTGATTTTTTTTTTTTGTTATAACAATTATTCCCTTGTCTCGTAAAGTTTCCTAGAGAAAACAGCATTTCAATATAATTTTTATTGTGCCGATTGTTGTTTCTGTTATTCTTTTTCTGTAAAAGAAGCTGAAGTTCCTTCAAATCATAAAAATCTCCCAGATGACAAAGGAGATGGAAGTGGGGAGGTGATATATTAAAATATAGATGTTACAAATGAACATTCTACAACTGTTTACTTGTAGTGGGAGATTTGTCAGCCCAGCAACACCTTCGCAATTTCTGGTGCTTCTGTAGTAGCTACACTGAGGGGGAAGATGAAAAACTGAATTACTGTAACTAAAGTAGATATTAAAAAACAATTCTGTAGGTTTATGTATGTATGTAAGGGAACTCCTATGCAGACAGCAGAGTGTAGGAGGTATGCTGATGTTAGTTAATTAAAAACCCCTTGAATTAATTTGTTAGAAAACACCTTCATTTCCATCACATGTCCCCATCTCCTTTCTCTAAATGTACACACAGATATTAAGGAAAAAGTTTTTTGGAGAGGAAGCTATAGGGTAACTCACTTGGTAGGAAAAATGAGAGAGATATCTGATTCTGTCTTCATGCAAATTTTATCCAGCATATTCAATCATCTCAAAAAATTTCCACATCAGACCTTTTCTGCTTTTTCCTGTCCAGATGTAGTAGCGTATTGCCTTGTCAAATGCAGCTACAGAGTGGTAGGGACTGCTCTTCTTCCTTAACATCCGTATCTGAAACTCAACAGTCTCTAATGATTTCAGCTGCTTTTTTGAAGTGCAATGTTTCAAAATGTCGCAGAAGCAAAAAAGTTTATTGGCAAATCCCTTCAGCCAGCACGACCTGTGCATCACCTGTCTTCTCAACAAGGTGAGTAGCATGGCTAAGGTACAGTTCAGTTTGCCAAAGTTTTGGTTATGTTTAATGAAATATCAAGGACATGTAAGGTGACTTTGTTTGGTTTAGGGTTTTTTTTATTTTTTATTTAAGGACTTTGTTCAAACTATAGTGGTGAATAAATATCTTGCTGTGTATTGATCTGATTACATTATCTCTGTGATAAAATCAGAATTTAAACTTCAGGGTTATGCAGAACTCTTTGGTGCTGTTCTTCTAGATTGAAATCTGAAATCTGGCTTCAGAAAGCTGGATCAGGCTTCTCTGCTAAATTTGGATTTTCTGGGTTTGTTGACACCTGCAATTGAAAACATAAAGTACACATAATTTAACAAATAGATTTTTTAGGTTCTGTTTCAAGTACAATACACTGTACTGCTCTATTCTTATCTAGCCTTCATATAAAATAAAAAATCCCAAAAAAACCTAAGAAAAATAAACTCATGCAGTATTTGCGTCAGGTGAGAATATTTTCATTTTTTTTAAATTTGTTTTGTTTTGAGATTTTTGTTTTGTTTTTTAATTTCTATGTGCCTCCTAGATATTGCAATATTACAACTGTTATTATTGTTAAGGTAAAAATTTCTGGTGGTCAGAGAATCATCAGCTGTGCTAATGTGGACTGAAGCTAAGTGACATGATAAATTTTGACTTTTTGTAAAACTCCTGAGAGAAGTGGAAAAGGGGTCTTGTGATGATCTAGAGCTTTTAAGTTGTGAATAAATGCCTATATAATCTCTTTGCTGTCAGGAATGTTCTTGTGGTAAGTTATGTGGAGTCTGTTGAAATTATTTTCCCGTAATGTTTTATCTTTGCCAGCATCAGCCATTGCATTAAACATTCAGACTGAGTTACCTGGCAGCGCTGAAGTATGTTTGCAGAATAAGGTTAACTGGGTGAGTACTGAGTAAATAGTAGATGATAAAGTTGATGGTGTGTGTTCTACCACGTTATAAATTGGAGGTCACTTGATCCATTATGCTACCAAATGAAAAGCAAACTATTTCCAGCTAGGAGTGTCCTTGAATCTGAAGGTTTTAAACCAGGAGTGTCAGAACTGTTACAAAGAATTATGAGTTTCAGGAATGCCTTTCCCTGGTATTTGCAGGCACTAGTAGCTGAAAAATGCAGCTTAGGAATTTAAGATTCTTATGCAAGTCTGCATGGCATTTCTTTAGTCTTCATTGTGAATTTAAGACATCTCTTTTAAAGTACACATATCTAGTCTTTGCTTATTATGTGTAAATAATAACATTAGAATTCTTTTTGTTGTTAGCACATGCACAAATTCATTTGAGTCTTCACAAAAGTAGGAAATTTAACAGTTCCAGTGCATTCTGTAATTATGTTTCATTCACTGTGCTGGACTGGGCAATAAGGGAGCTCCAGCATTCAGAAAAACAGAAGCACTGTAGTGTTTTATTGCCAGAAATAGTTGATTTTGGGCATGGTACAGCGCGTCCTTCAAACTTGAAATTGGTTATAGCTGTTTGCTACAAAATGAAGTTTGAAGTCTTCCAACTGGAATGCTTAATGTTTCATAGTCTGAATTTGATTTTCTTTTGCTCCTGGTGTCAATGGTCTTCAGAATGTATTGATAGTTTGTGTGGGGTATTTTTGTTAGAAGAAGTGCCTGTTCCTTCTCTTTTTATTTTAGAAGAGTTTTAATAATTCTTATTCTATAAAGCTTCTGGAAGCTGCCTTTGACTTTAAAAAAAAAAATAAAATAACATCAGGGTGTTGAGAGCCTGTCCTTGATCACATATAGGGAAATTAATAGTTGTACTTGTCTAATGAGCAGTAGTTCTTGAGGAGAACAAAAACCAGACTATTCCCTTTTAAATAAACTGTGGTCAGCAGTGTTGTAGTCCTCAGTTTCATCAGTGTTTGGCTACATGTAGATGCATAAGGCACTTCTTTGATGTTAGTATAGCTGTATTTTTTATATTTTTTAAACTTACTTTGGCATTGGATATAGAGAAAACTTTTTAATAATATGTTTGGCCATTAACTGTTTCATGGGTACCCCAAATACTATCTGAACAGTGAGTGCCCTATGAACGCCTTCTTGATAGGCAACATGGCCTGAAGGCTGGCAGAGTAGCTTCACAGAATATTTTTCTAAACAGAAACATTCTGTATCTAGTTCTGAAGATACTAGGACCTCAGTCTCATGATAAAGAGTTGACTGTTATCACTCTTTAACCAGTCTTGATATTGTAGAGCAGTTGGCAGGAGGATGAGATGGGACATGGTGCAGGAAGAAATGCAGAAATACTGCGGTGACATTTGCACATTGCTGTAAATTGTGCTTTATCATGTTGTTTCTTATGGATTTGAGAACGTGTTAAATCTTTGGATTTCTTTCTTGGAAAGAGCCTTTGAATAGCTAAGGCTTGCGAAGACTAGTTGAACATCACAAAGGAGTTAGAGCAGTATGGTTCTCTGTTAACTTCATTTTTCTGAAATACCTAGAGTTTTCAGTTTTTTTTCCCAGAAGTTTTAGTTTAGAAGGTTAGTTTAGTTTAGACAAATCAGGAAAAGATAAATAAATTTCAACCAGAGGAAATGGAAATGTGAGCAAGGTGAATAAAACATAAATATTTTGCCATTTCACATTTTGGAGTCTTAGCACACCATGAAAACTGGTGAACTTACAGTACAGGATCTCTTCTATTTTTGACAGGCACTTCCCAAAATTTTCAGTTCTTGTCCCCTTCCCATCTGGCTCAGAATGTTGTTAAAATTCCTCAGCCAAACCCGTGGAGCCTTTTCAGAGCTAAGACAAACTGTTGATAAACTGCTTTCCTACTTTCCAAAACACTCTCTTCAAGATTTTGGCAGCTGAGGGAACTCAGCATTATGCTGTAGATGCTGTTTCTTGATGCTTATGAAACCTTTTTGCTAAGTGAGAGAACCAAGTCGATCCTTTGGTCTTAAGGAAAGTCCTTCCTGCTTTTCGTATTCCCCAGTGCAGCAGCTTCTGGCTGCATTACGGGTGACATAATAGAAAAGGAGGAGATAATAATTATGTTCTTTTTAAAAAACTAGAAATACCACTGTAAAATTCTGTGTAAAAATGGCTCTCAATTGTGTTTACCTGTACTGCTTTGTTGAACTGTTCCTTTATTGTATGTGATAAAGAGTAATAAAAAACATTCTATAGGTTCAAATTAAACTGTGCTACAACTGTTATTTTTAACTAAGAAACATACATCCCTGTTTTAATGTGCCTAAAGCAGAGAAGCTTCATAACTTTCCTTCCTATTTTAGTCATCTGAAATGACTGAAGTGAAGATCTTAACTCAAACTGTGATGCTCTGTCAACCAAAACAACATGAATCAGGAGCAAGAAAAGGTAAAATACTGTATGGAGAGCTGTGTCAGGATTGCATATTCTGGATGGAAGACACCTGATGTATGAAGTGATGTGGGTTGCATTTTATTTTTTCTGATTAGCCAGTGCACTGGTAGTTTGGCTCCCTTCTGTACCACAGTTGGAGAGTAATATGAAACCTTTCTGGTTTTCACATAACACTCTAGAGAAGGTGTAAAATTTGACCATAACTGAGGTGGGAAACTTCCACTGGTAGACTTACTTGCATATAAGAGTGTAACTGTCTTTAAAAAAACCCAAACAAACCCAACAAAACAAACAAAAAACGAATGCAAGAAAAAACAGACCCCAGGCATAAAAAAATACTTTTCACAAAATCCTGGTTTTCTATAAATTGCTTGTGTGTGTAGAGGTACAGATTTGAGTTGCATTCTTTAGCCTGTTACAGGTGTCAGTCATGGCACACAGACTATTGCACGTAATCAATTTGAGAACTCAGTTTTTTGGGTTACTTGTCTGTCCTTGTCTTACTGCAGGGGTTCTGAAATACTAATATTTGCATCATCAAAAATGAATGAATTTCTCTAATGATTAGTCTTGGGCAGTTGATTCTTGGACAGTACAGTCAGTACTGTCCTTAACGTTTGCTCCTTATGGTTTTATCTCTCTACTGCCTGTCAGTGCAGATAGAGCATTGGTAGTAGCCAAAATTTTACTCTTTTTTTTTTCATTAAGCCATAATCTCAGATTTCAGATGAATTCTTGCAATACTTCTCTGCCCTGCTTCCTACCTAATTCTTCATTCTTAAACATGTCACATTAACTGCGTCAGTGATCCACCTCAGGTCATCAGTTCATTGGGACAATTTCTTTTGTCTATGTCTTCCTGTGATCAGTCACCCTAGATCTGAGTCTGTAATCTTCAATCCTTAAGTAATCTCTGAAGACTTGAATTGTTCTGTTGCTCTTAGTACAAAGAACTGAAAGAATTCTAATAAGTTTTATTGAGCCTGTCCAGTTTTTCTCAGTCTGAGGTTACCATCTCTCAGGTTCTTGAGCAATAATTCTATTCGTGTGTGTTACTGACTTGGAGAGTAAGTCCATTCAAGCTCAGGTAAATCCATTCAAGCTCAGGTTCATTTCTTCTATTCTTGATCTTGATTAATAGATTTCTATTTGGATCTAGTTGGATGTCAAGTTCTCTCTGTTTGATGGTGGCTTTCTGATTCCTTTCTCATAGATTCTGCTTGTGGTTGTGGAGACTCTTGTGTTCTACAAGATGTTAAATGGCTTCTTGTCAGATCCTGGTCTCTTGTATAAAAGTAGTCATTTTGGGTGTTGTTCAGTGGTTAATTGCTCTCAGATGCCTCCCTTGAGTCTACTTCACAATTTTCCACAATGTCAAACATTTTCTCACACTTATTTTCAAAGGGCTTTTGTTTGTTTGCTGATTATTGTAATCCTTTCCTTCAGAATAACACAACTTTAGAGGTTCTGCTGTTCAGCTGCTGCTTAAAAATAAATCTTTTGTTTTCTTCTTTTTTTTTCCCTCACACTGTAAAATTTCTTCTGGAACTCCTTATATCTTCAGCTGTACTTTAAGTTCTAGATAACAATTTCCATTTGAAATTGCCTCCAATTATCTGTCTCTACAGTTCTTAAATGCAACATAAGGTTCCCATGGGCCCACTTCTTGAGTTTTTCCAGGTCCTTCTGGATGGCATCCTCTCCTTAAGGTGTGTCAAATGCACCACTTAGCTTGGTGTCACCTGCAAATTTGCTGAGGGTGCATGTGACTCCACTGGTTGTGATTAATAAAGATATTAAACAGTACAGGCCCAAATATGGAACCCCAAGGGACACCAGTCATCACTCATTGATCTCCATCTGGACATTGAATTGGATACATTTTGGATCATAGAATGGTTTGGATTGTAAGGGACTTTAAAAATCCTCTAGTTTCTACCCCCTTCCATGGGCAGGGGGGCACCTTCCATTAGACCCGGTTACTTAAAGCCTCTTCCAGCCTGACCTTGAACACTCCCAGGTGTGGGGCATCCACAGCTGCCCTGGGTAACCTTTTCCAGTGCCTCACAGGGAAGAATTTCTTCCTCATATCTAATCTAAATCTACTGTCCTTCAGCTTACGGCTGTGCTATCACTATAGGCATGTAAAAAGTCCCTCTCCAGCCTTCCTGTAAGCCCCCTTTGGGTCCTGGAAGGCTGCTATAAAGTCTTCTCAGAACCTTCTCCAGGCTGAACAACCCAGTTCTCGCAGCTTGTCTTCACAGGAGAGGTGTTCCAGCCCTCTGATCAACTTACTGACTCTCCTTTGGACTTGGTCCAACATGTGATTGGATGCAATTGTCCAACCAATTCCTTATCCGGCAAACAGTCCACCCATCTAACCCATTCACTTTGATACAGAGAGAAGGATGTTGTGGGGGACTGTCTCAGAGGCCTTATAGAAATCATAGGTTTTTAATCAGGGGGAGGGGGGAAAAACAGGCTGTAAGTTTTCAAGTGTTCTTGTATTCTTCGAACTGTTCTTTTTAAAGTTACCCACATACCCTCCCATAGGTTCAGCAGTTCTTGCAATCGCTTGTGGTCAAAGGCAGGAAAAATACCCAGTCATAGTTGACTTTGTCGGCTTGTCTTTTGTCAACATCCTACAGTCTGAGAAACAAAGCTGCGGTCTATCAGGTGTAACAGTCTTGCAGGCAGCCCATCATTTATAAAGGAATAAACTTCTTTGTTGCCGATGACCAGCGATAAAATTTGTCCCTTCTTTTCCTAATTCCTTTCCTCTTGTTTCTGGTCTTGTTTGAGAATATCAGCTTAAAATGCAGACACAGCCAGACATGTATCTAACGCTGTGCTAGAGTAGAGACGCTGCTATGAACTCGAGCAATAACCTGCATGCTTTGAGCAAAGCCCCTGGTTCTTCTTGATTCGGTGTAATACCCCTAAAACTATTTAATTGGTATTAATCTGTTTGCCAGTTTACATGCAGCACATCTCACCATTACTTTTCGGTGTTAAAAGAGATCCGACTTAATAGGTCCAAGAAAAGAGACACTTCATTTCTGTTATGTCTCCCTTAGAAATACATACCACTTTGGTGTGAGTTATTAACAGATTCTTCTAGGATTTCAAGACCAGTTTGTGATGTTTCTGTTAATTAGAACAAGATACAGGGACTCTGTCTCTAGTGTAAGGCTAGATTCACCTTTTTTATTTTCTTTTGTGTTAATTTATTGGTGAAATGCTCTGTAATTTACTACAAATGGTCCTCATGCAAGGTAAGATTGAAATTACTCCTGGTTTTAATATAGATTTTTATATTTCACATGCAACATTTCCACCCTTCTAGAAGTAACCAAATAATTTTTCTGAATTCTAAGTCTTAGTGCCTTAAACAACGTTGAATGTAGTGATTTTGTGTATTCACAGAAAGGATCCAATACAGCAGAGATTTCCTTCTGAAGCTTTCAAGTGTTTCTCTCTCTCAGAAGAAGCCAGAGTTTCTTCCTGATCATCCGGTTGTACTTGAGAAGCCAGTGAGTGAATTTTTTTGCATTAAGTGAAGTTATAAAAACATTCATGGAGGTTTTGACAACCCATTTGACAGGAAACATTTTCCCTCAGACTAGCCTGCCAAATTGGTAAAACCTTCAAAAGACAGATTGTGCAGTTCAGCTCTGTTACTTTTGTATGTATCTCCCCCAGTTGGTATTTGACATCTTACTGTGGTAAGTAACATAATAAGAGAAACAGTTTTTTGTTTTTCAGGGAAATGATCAGGTATGTTTCCATCTGTTCAAAATAAAAGAGAACAATCTTGATAAATTTCCAGCTTGGTGGAAGTCTGAATCCAGTGTTTAAGTTGTCCATGCATCCGTGTCCACTACAAAACTATTAATGAGCTTAATACAGTTTGTGTTATCAGTAATCTGGTCTGTGGTTTTGGGGAGAAATTAATAGAAATGAATGATCAATGTGAAGGATATCCAGGTGTGCTACCGTAACCTTTGTGATGAAATAATCCTCAAATATTTAGTATGCCAGGAGAAAAAAATCTACTGAGTTTGTATTCCATACCTTTAAGTGTGGGAAAATCTTCAGGGTAAATATTATCATGTCAAATTAGGCTACATACTAGGCTGCTTTTGAGGCAAATTACAAACTCTTACTAGTCATGATGTTGCGTCATGATGTTGCGTTAGAGTAACATAAAGTGTATTACTTAGCTATTGTTATTGGTGTCTTAAGCACAAAGGTGGTTGTGTAGGAAACTGAAGGAAAACAATCTTGTTCTCATCAAAAGAAAGCAAAAGCTTTCAAGTGATCTTGAGGAGTGTTGAAAAGGATATTGCAAGTATACTGATCTCATCAGTATGTAAAGGTGATATTAGGTTGCTAGTCATGCTTCAGAAGTTAGTTCCACATTTTGGTTGTTTGACAGTCTGGTTTTTTTTCTGAATTGATTAGAAGAAATGTTTTGCTGTTAATATAGGATAAAACTATCCAGTGGGTGTATTATAGTGTTGAATTCTAGTGTAGACATTGAATTAAATGAACGATGCCTAAAAGTGGCAGAGGGTGGCCTCCAGATAAATTTCTGATGACAAACAGACAATTCTACAACATGTCAGTGACACTGTATTTTGGACCAGGTGGTTGTCAACAGTTTGCCTCTGAACAGAGTATTCAGGCAGTTCATGCCTCTCTTAAGACTTTCCTCATTCTGAATTCTTTTTGAAGTCACTGCTGAAGTATATGCACATTTATGACTGAAAGTTGTATTTTCAGGTGAATAAAACATCAGTAGAGTGACCTGTACAAGAGAAGTGATGTTGTTACAATTGGTTGACTCTGAACTGCATTTGTCCCAAAGGACGGTGATGTTTTTTTGAGATGTAGGACTCAGGACTACCCTGAGCCAAAATACATAGCTTAGCATTTGAACAGATTTTACTGCGTTGACAAAGTCTTCTAGGAAAATTTTAGGTTAAGTCTCTATGATTAGTGAAAATAGAACTGGTTGCCATAAAAAAAAAACCCCAAACAAATCGTGAAACATACTTGGAATAGGAAAGAGTTGTAAGCAGACCCAAATGAAAACTTTTATGACCTGTTAATGTTTAAATGACCTGTTTATATAACTGCAGTAATTTGAGAATTGGTTTGTCTTACAGGTAAAGAACAAACCTTTTATTGACTTATGCAAGAAGTGACATGTTGTTTGGAAAATCAGAAATCCATCAATGAAGGAGCTACATATGATGTAGGTCTTCAAAATTTTTGGAGGTATTTGGGTGCCTGCAGATGGAAATAGGACCCTGTGAAATTTTAAAGAATGCCTCTTTCTTCCTGTCATTGCCTGAATGCTTTAAGAGACAAACCTTTAATTTGTAATGCCTGAGATGGTAATATGATTACAGTGAAAATAAATAATTTTACATATTGCTATGGCAGAATTTTGTCCTTGAATTGTTTGTGTTATGTAGCCAAATATTTTGCCTGACCATAAACTCTAAACCAATACTTGACTGGGACTTTCTGCTCGCTCCCAACTCCCTTCCTGAGAAGTAATGGTGGAACAACAAATATTGTGTGTGTCATATCTCAGATGCCTTAGGGTATTACTCCTCTAGTTTGTTGTGGTTTTTTTTTGTTTTTTTACAAAACTTCACTTGTTTTCTTTCTTTATTTGAAATCTTCATTTTGATACAAGATATTCCTTAATACTTTGTGGATATACATACCTTCTTTCAAGGTATGAAGTCTCTTGTTTCACTAAAATGAGAAATCTTCTCTCATCACGGATCAGAGCAGGAGACATGCCTATGCACTGCATTCCTAAAGTTCTTTGTAAATAATGGTCCAGTGTTTTTGACTTTAAAAGTGAAAGCAATGGGCAAAACTGAGGAGCAAGACAGATTTTAATCACATCTTACATGGGTAAATGGGTATCCCACTGCACAGTTAATTCTATCACTTTTCCCCTTAAATTTCCCTTAAATCTAATAGTGAAGTGAAAAGCAGTAGTTTGAGTATTTCCTGGAAGCACCCTTCAGTTGGCAGGCATCAATAATAGTTATTTTATATGAATATACTAAACTTCAGAACCCGTATTCAAACCTACAATAACATCATTTGGGCACTGAAGGCAATTTTTTAACCTCTGTCACAAATGATAATAAAAGCTAAATGAGAATGTGCTGAATGGCAATTGCAGTAGTGCAGAAATCTTTGGACTTGTGTTTGATAGGCACTAGATTTCTTTCCCTGAACCACGCAAATAAATCTTTTTGTTGGTTAATTTTTAATCAATGAATCTTTTTTTCCAAATAAGTGTATGTTTACTAGTAAATATACAAAGGAGAATAACTACCAGAAGGTCATATGACCTAGTTGAATTTTTTTCACCCCTCCAGCACCTAATTGACATGAAGTTCTAAAACAGGTTATTTTAAGAATAATTTTAACATGTCTTTTTCCCAGTGAAAAAGAAAAATGTCACAAACCTTAATGTAGTGTATAATTTTTCACTTAAGGATTTATCCTGCAGCTGTGTCACATCACTGTATTTCCTTTGGTAGGTCAGTAATGACAAAAAAACCTATGCCATGCACTAGACTGACATCTTGGCATGCGAAAACCAGTTTTTCAGGGGTATTTTACTTTTACTTTGCTAAAACCAAGAAACTAAACTTACAGTGATGTCATTTGTGAGGGTAATATGGATTTTTGTATGTCTTTTTAAAAAAGGACAGATCAGTAGTTGGATCATGTCAATAAGGGAAGCTTTCAGACTTCATTATTAAAAGCATTCACTTTTGCTGAGTTACTGTCAGCAGATTTAAAGGTGAAGTTTGTCTCTAACATGGGCACCTAAATTTAGGTATGCAGGTATCTCTTTCTGACATCCACATTTGTGCCTCATGAATTTTATTGGCAAAGGGCTTGATTCAGTTGCCTGAAGGTAGGGATCTACTGTCATCCAAGACTGTCATGTACTTTTTGGGTACTGCTTGTAACCCTGGACTGCTAGATGAGAGAGTGGTCATGTAGCATGTAGAGCTTGTCAACCTGTCATGGAGCTATGAAGGAGGTTACAATGGTCGCTTTCCTTTCATTCTTGGGCTGGAGGACACACCTACTCCTCAGATGAAGGGGACAATACTATGACTTGTTAGGGAATCAGATATTTCTACTTCCAAGTTTTATAGAATCATAGACTATCCCAAGTTAGAAAGCACCCACAAGGATCATCAGAGTCCAGCTCCTGGCCCTTCACAGGACAGAATCACACCACATGTCTGAGAGCATGCTTCTTGAACTCTGTCAGGCTTGAGGCCATGACCACTTCCCCAGGGAGCCTGTTCCAGTGCCCAGCCACCCTCTGGGTAAAGAATCTCTTTCTAATATTCAACCTAAACCTCTCCTGACACAACTTCAGACCATTCCATCAGGCCCTGTCACTGGTCACCACAGAGAAGAGATCAGCACCTGCCCCTCCTCTTCTCCTCACAAGGAAGTTGTAACTTCAAGGAGATCTTCCCTCAGTCTCCTCTTCTCCAGGCTGTACAGACCAAGTGACCTCAGCTGCTCCTCAAACGGCTTCCCCTCAAGGCCCTTCACCATCTTTGTTGCCCTCCTTTGGATGCTCTCAAATAGCTTAATATCTTTCTTAGATTGTGATGTCCAAAACTGCCACAATATCCAAGGTGAGGCCACACCAATGCAGAGTAGAGCGGGACAATCCCCTCCCTCAACTGGCTGGTGATGCTTTGCCTGATGCCCCCCAGGACACAGTTGGCCCTCCTGGCTGCCAGGACTGCTGACTCATATTCACCTTGCCATCGACCAGAACTCCCAGGTCCCTGGATATGAAGGTGATCTGACTGTAACATCTGTCAGCCCATTGATCAGCCAGGTTAATTGAGCAGATCTGGCTGGCTATAGGTGGGGATGTCCCCTTCCCCCCTCAGTGCTCCATGTGCATCCTGCCTGAAGCTGCAAACTCTGTCACAGAGAGTGACCTCTAATGGTACTGTTCATGGCTCAAGGGTGTACAGAAGCCCTGCTCACCTGCTAGAACTTCCCAATGAGCTGAAGGTTTATGGCTATTTGTGTTCTAACAGCAATTTCTCTAATGACTTTTGAGTGAACTGACAGAGATCTAATAAAAATATTTTCTGAGTGGTCAGGACATGGAGTTCAAAGCAAATTGGTTGTGAAATGTTAAGTCTGGGGATCTAGAGTGGCTTGACAGACAGGCAGATATGTTTCCTCTTGTGAGAGCAGGGGCTAGAGTTTGTGAAGAGAAGATAGTACTGCCTTGTCTTGTTGTGAGCAGAAAACATCCTGTGTGAGGGAAGTTCAGTATTAGCACAAAGAACTGGCCCTGTGTTTATTCTCTTAATCATTTACAGCATGTCTGAAGACATGTATGAAAAGGTCTGCTCATGCTCATATCTCTTTCTTCTACAAAAGGAGACCACAGCAGCATGATGTAATGGTTGTTTATTAATGCAAGACTGAAACTTGTCACAAATATTTAGTCATACAAATGCAGATGTACTTCTCTGTGATAGTTTGGACTGAATATACACAATAAATATCATAGTTGTCTTATTTCTTATTTCAGTTTTTAGAATGCATCATGTCCCTGAACTAGTCACAAGAAGAGAAGGTAATAAATATGCAGTTTTCCAGATTTTAAAACAGATAAATTGGAAAAGATCACATCCATAATAACAAACATTATCACATCATAAATTCATAGCCCAGCACATCTGTACACTGCTATATGAATGTTGGTGTAATGAAAAACAATGCAACATTAACATTACTTGGAACCACAGCTTCTAGTTGTTATTGAGGACCCACCATGATGCTGAAAGAGAAATTTTATTTATTTGTTAATATTTCTGGTAAAAATCCCAAATAAAATAACCATAACATATATGTAGAAACATTAATCTATATGTGCAGCTGATACAGATTAAGAAAGAATACTCAGAATACTGGGAGAGCTGAGTAGAACTGGTGGGGGGATGGCTTTAGCACAAGAATTTCTATCACCTGTTGAAAGCATCCAGAGAAGCATTAGCATGTCATCATCCAACACTGCCATGGTTACTAGACCATGGCACTCAGTGCCACATCCAGTCTCATCTTAAAAACCTCCAGGGATGGTGAATCCACCACCTCCCTGGCAGCCCATTTTAATGTCTGATCACTCTGTAAAAATTTCCTCCTAATATCCAAGCTAAACCTTCCCTGGCATAGCTTACGACCATGCCCAAATTTGTATAGATCAGTCATGGGAAGTACTTTCCATTAAAAAGAAGTCCAGATCTCTGCATAGATTTCTAAATTGCAGGTAATCTATAAAATGGTACAAATAACTGTGAATGCAGTAATTCCTATTGCCCCAGCAAGGAGCTCACAGTGAGAAATGCTGTTCCTATGGCAACGGTCTGCCAGGTTAGAGTGCTGCAGACTGAAATCCTTCTAAGCAGGCAGAGTCAATGCTTTAATGAGTATTTGGAATTCAGTTTCAGACACTGCTATATTTAGGCATTTAAAGATAATGTTTACATTTTATTTTATTTTATTTTGATTGTACTTTGCCTGTGAGTAAACCACCCTGGAACACTCCTGGGTCATCTGCAATCTAACTCTTGGACACAAAGAATTTTGGGAAAAGGCATCATTGTTTCCTACAGCCAAGTTTGTCTTAAATTTCCCAGTAAGACACAAGATTTACAGAGATTATTGGTTCATTAAATGCAGTCTCCTGACACTGCAGGAATCCCTGGCATATCATTTTCTGTTGAGATGAGGCTCCTGAGCTCTGAAGATGTCTTGGCTTGTTTCTTTTAAAGAGAAACTCCAGGTACAGGACTGCATTTTTTTGCCTATTAGGTATGGTTTTGTGATTTTAAATTTAGCCTGTACACAGACATAGGGGAAATTAGGGTTTTATTTTAATAGATTTGTGTTCCCTAAAATAAAAAATAATTGCTGTCCTCCCTCTGTAAATATGGGACTGATGCTTGCTTCCCTTCATTCTGCACTGTCTCTTAACTTTTATTCCTAGGAGAAGGAAGGTGTTGCATGCTCATTGGTTTGCATTAGGAATAATATTTTGTAATCTTTACCACCTTGCTTTTTAAAAGTAGGTTTTTTAACATAGCAGAAAGAACGTAAAATAAATTGGTTAATAAATATAAATTATTAGTAATTAAGGCTCCCTTCAGTCAGTGTAAATAGGACTAAGTTGAAATCTTCATCAGAAAGCATTTTTTTGCTTGAAAATCTTAAACAGGGTCTGTTTTACCACTCACAAACAGTATTGGTTTTTCTAGATATTTTCTTATACAGA